CTCGCCCCGCTCCGCTCGGAAAGCGCTACCTGAGCCTTGTTTTTCCTCTCCCCGTAGGACGGTCCCGCGCCCTCCGCTGTGAAGAGAATGGCCGTGACTCTAGAGCAGGCCCAGCGGGTGGGCTATACCTGCCTGAAAGCACTCCTCAGGTTCGCTTTTATGGTCGCCAATAACCTGGTTGCTATTCCGTCCTACGTCTTGTATTTAATTGTGCTGCAGCCTCTCCGAGTGTTGGATAGTAAAAGCTTCTGGTATATCGAAGGAGTATTATTTAAGTGGCTTTTAGCTATGGTGGCTTCCTGGGGCTGGTGGGCAGGATATACAGGTAAGAATGTCTTATTAATTTAAAATATACAAGTGTAAAGATGTAAATAAGTATTAAAACATAGATGGTTTAGTATGGATGTGTAGGGGAATATGTAAATATAGCTGATACGTGGGATGTTTTTCTTTCAGGTTCCTGATACAGATTCTTTATATTTCTGCATTGAGATGCTGAGTGTACTGAAACATTTTTTTAAATTGTAGGTACAAACTTACATGTTAAGCAAGGGTTTTTCAATCACTATTTTGTTTTAGTATAATCAGAAATATGGCTTTTCCTAAGTACCTTGATCGCTTTGTTTTAGCGTTACGTGAAAAAGGTATGTCTCCTCACAAGAGAGTTGATTTGTACTGTGCACGTAGCTGATAGAGCCAAGTATTTCTTTAAGTCTGTGCATCTGTAAATCGTCTCCACTTACAAACCATCAGGACACAAGGCTAAGAAGTTTGATACGAAGCTCATGTCAGAAGAGCAGGTCTTCTATTCCTTGCAACAGCCACTGTCTTTGCTGCTTCAGAATGGAGGGAAACAGAGGGAACCTCTTTCATGCAAATAGTGATACACAATGTTTCTCTACTGTGTGACTCTTCATTTACTGTTAGCAGAACTAATTACAGAATCTGTAGGGTTTTTCCCCTCTGCATGCTTGCTTTGCAGTTATTATTGAACTTATTTTTGCTTCTTAGTATTCATAGGCTTATCAGGGTGATGGACTGAACTGGAATATTAAGGAAGACTCTAGTCTTGTCCTCAAATGCACTGCTTTTCATCCTGGCTACTGCACTTTGTGCAAGAAAACAGCCATCAATTCTTTGTATGTGCTTAGACCTTGGAAAGGGGAGGAAATGAATCTACTGAGTGCAAAATATGAACATCCCTCCTAAAATTCTTTCCCTCTCTTCTGCCCAGGCTGCATCCACAGGTCTTGTCCATGTAAACAAGGAAAAAAAGGAATGGCAGCACACAGCTCTGGAGTCTGGTCAGACTCCTGATTAGTCAGAAAGTCAGTGTTGACCCAGATGGAGCGCTCTTTTTGTTAGGCTGCAAGAGCTGAAGCCTCTGTGATAATGTGCCTTTTGGTACCCTGTCGTGTGCCTTTCCAAGATGCACAAAGTTTCTGTGGATACTCTAGGTGAGCTTCCAGTTCTTCTTTAGGAGATGGTGGCAGCAGCAAGCTAGATTCTGGTCTGTTGGACTAGAACTGTCGCAACGTTGCACTGCTTCGAAATTGCCTTGCCTGGTACGGCTCAAGCTTTTCCAGTTATGCTGTTTAAAAAGTCTTTTTATATGTTTATATTTGCTCATTAAAAGAAGTCCACATAGTATTTGCAGTGGCAGATGTATTTTTGAAAGTCTGCTTCATGCCTTAAAGCACAAAGGCCTTCTAGAAGGAAGGATTGACTTTCAAGGTGTCATGTTTGTTATTAATTGGAGATGGGAAAGTTTATGGGCATAATGGTAATGTTAAAGTCATACAGGACATGACCCCGGGGATTTGCTGTGTATATTGAATGTGCTAGTTAAAATTCAAGCTATTGTCCCATGACAATATGGTTGTCAATTTTTGAAAGCAATTTCCTTGGGATAGTTTTACTGCTGACTGCAGAACTGTGTGGTTTCTTTTGCCTATTGCTTGGAAAGTGGTCTTAGCATGATCTGCATATCCTAGAGTTTTCCTGAAGCATCTGTTGATTGGTGTTGCTGATGTTTCTTGACAATTTGAAATCCTTTGTTTTACAGTCTTGAAATGTCTTTTGTTTGTTTGAAGTGTCATTTACAAACAGCTACACAGAAGTGTTTTCTGGGATGGTGTATGGGTAAGGAGGCCCTTCTTTTTGCTTTTCACTATAAAGCATGGCTTTCGGGAGAATTTTAAGCAAATGCTTGTACGAAGTCTCAATTTAAATATATTCTATTTGATATGAAGACGTTAACATGTTTTATACTGAAAATAGCAAAAATAATATACAAAATAGCAAGAATAGTTTATTTCTTTGTTCATTCTTTCTTTACCCTCATCCGTGTTCACCACCACATGCAGAACAAACCTGGAGAAGGTATCTTTCTGGCTTCGGTATTTGTAGACAGAGTAATTTGCGTGTCTGTTTCTAGACTGATAGATTTATAAAAGACTGTTGCTCGGCCCCCTCTTTCTATACAGTACAACATAACTAATTCAGAACTGAAACGCTACTTTATTAGAGTTGGTGTCCAAGACTTGCAGTGGTGCCTCTGAAAGAAACATTGCTCCAGAATTCTTCTGTTTTCAGTTCCAAAAACTAAGTCAAAGATAGGCTTCAATATGTTCTATCTTTGCAAAAGTAAGTACAAGATAGTAGGTATGTTCATTGCGAAGATTAAGGATTTTTCTTTTGAGTAGCAGAGCAATTGGTGAGTTGTTTTTTGGTTTTTAGTTTGGTGGGTGGGGTTTTTTTTTTCTTGATTGAGAGGATGACCAGCTAAGTATGTTTACTTGTCTTTTAATTGGAGGTAGTGTTCTGCTTCATTTGTGTTGAAGGCGTGTTTTATTTTTTTTAATTTATTTACTTCTTCCTCTTCCAACCTTGGGTCATCTGTTGGGTGAGAAGTGACATAAACCATTTGTAATTAAGCACTTAAACTCAGCCTGCAAAGTAGATTCAGGGCAGACTTCCCCCCCCCCCCCCCAACCAAATGTTT